GACGGTAACTGGTAATATGCAATGTATTACATTTTCGAAGTAACTTGCCCAACACTGTATATCATATATATTCAATATAATTACTTATATAATTAATACAAAATGCAGTATAAGACATATTAAGTATGATTCCTTATCTCTGTAACTACTTGAAACACACCTTGTTAAGTTTTAAGTCTCACCAAGATTGACTCAGCACTTACCTGCAGCGTCCTCTCTCACACAGTGGTCCTGCAGCATCACTGCTCTGCCACCACCCAGTGCTCCTACAGCAGGTTACAAATATACAAGATTACATATCTAATACTGTGATAGAATATATGTTTAGCATGATCATATGTATAACACAGTAATTTATACATACATTTGGTATTTAGAATAATTCCCCATTTAGCCTGGTATGTTTCATTTATCAAAATTACTTATCTTGTGTTTTAAATCTCATTCAGGTCCTCAAACTTCCCTCTCACTTCGCTATCAATGTAATATCAGCTGAGCTGTAACATATTATAGACAGGTATACTCAACAGAATCACAAAGCCTAAAAAACTGACCATAAGTTCCATTTTTGTTTCATTTCACCTCCTCCACTCAACAATCACGCAGCAATGTCATATTTAACTGAGCTAATATCTAACTCAGACTAGCTCGCAAAAAATCAGGACTGGAAGCACTCTAACTTCCCAATGTTAGATAAAATAGTTTAGGAGAAGACAATTTAAAACTAACAGGCTGTTCATGGTTAGCATTACCTGTATGGTGTGTACAGTATGTACAGTGTCCTTGCCTAATTTGTTATCTTTTAACATTACATAAATCTACTAATTTAATGGGAGTTAATCCACTAACAAGCTTTAATACACATGCTAATTTAGATAAATTGTGCTGATAATGTAAAATTTGAGTCTTTGGACATCTTACCCGTTAAAAGTACATCACAGCCGGTCTTTTCTGCTGTAACTCCATTGCGCTGCTAGCATGTGCCGCTTACTTCGGGAACTATTGAGAGGCTCCGCGATCCGCCATTGCTGTGAAAAAAAGGCCCATTAGAGTGAACGGAGAAGACGCGACTCTCTATTCAAGGGCTCTGCTTCTGGTAAAAAAAAAAACAAAAAAAACTCTGAACCTCTGGATCAGAAGTAAATTGAGCACACATTAAGTTATCAGAGAAAAATTGTGAGCATGCATTAGCAGGTGCTTGGTTAGATCCCTGTCTGCAATGTGCAAGCAGCATAAAAAAAACACTGCTTTGTAAAAGACAAAGAGACCTCTGCAGATAATTTGGCTCTCGGTTTAAAACCTCCTGAGCAAGTGTTAGGACCATGCAATGAGGCAACAAGGATGCAAGAGTTGTTGACAAAACCATGGGATTTTATTTGCCTAAAAAATGCCTGTAAAATTAGAACTAAACAAATAGGCCTATAAAAGAACTTAACTGTTCTCAATATAATAACTAAACAAAGTGTTCACTGAACAAACTGACCTGTCAAAATGACACACAAAGGAGCATATATAGTGGCTAGAATAGTCGTAAATATTACAAACAACAAACACTGCATGCAACACTACATTCTTTTTAAGGGCAGCTGCAATACCTACTAAAAGTAAAAAGAAAAAGTATGAAGTTTGGACCCTCAGCCACACCTTTTGCTCCACCAGCAAGGGACCTCCCTAAACAACCACAGTAACATGTGGCTGTGGCCATCACATCAAGGAACACTGAAGGAATCCTAACTGGGAGAAATTTTAGTTGGTTGCAATCTGCAGTTCTCACCACTAGATTCTAGTGTTGGATGATAAAACGATAACCTATCGTATTGCGAAAAACACTTATGAGCCAACGATAGAAAAAACGTTCGATATAAAGTTAGATAATGTTACTGTATTCTGTAGGGAAAAAACACGAGGAAGGCCACGCAAGTTACCCTCAGAGTCCGGCTTTGCAGGGTTGGTTGCATGAACACACTCACTTGCTCCCTGGTAACCTAGCAACAGTGTCATGCAAACCATATGTCTATAATGCAAACAGCTTACAACATCAGGTTTGGTTGCACCATCCTTGTGTGTGGGCTTGTTTTTTTGGAAAGTCGCTTACAAATATTGGTAGTAGAGGTTGTTGTTGAAAGTTTAATTTATACTGGATGTCCAGAGCTGTTACGTGTCATTACAAGTTACCTCAGGTTTGCACTAATTTCCACATAGCACTTTCCTCACTATGTGAATCACTTATTCATTTGTACATAGTCTTTTGTTCAGCTGCTCATCTTTACAGATATGTTTGCCTGAAAGCATTTACTAGCTTTACTTGATGTTAAGAGAAAACTGTTCATTTTTTATTTTAGTTTTTATACCATCTTAAGTGTTTTCTGATGGTTGTGTTGACATTACATTTTCCTCCGTCTGCCTTGACTGCTGACTGTGATTGAAATCAGAAGAAAGCTATTGAGTTTAAAATAAATGTGTTAAAATTTATTTATTTTCTCCTGGTCCTTATTTTAAATAGGTTATTAAAAAAAATATCGATAATTATTGTTATCGATCAATATAAACCAGCTATATCGTGATGTACCTACTTTTCAGCCATATCGCCCAACCCTACTGGATTCCAACCAAATCCCCCTAAATCTTACACAGTGTTCCTTTTAAATTACAATGTCAAGTATTCAGTGGCTGTTTAAATACTTTTATTTGTTTCCATTCTGATCAAGTTAGACAAGTTACAGAATGTTGATATACTGAATCACACACCTCTGCCAAGTCCTCTCTGCTGCAGAAAAGTTATCCTTGTTGTTTCAGTGTAGTAATTTCATTTGTATCTTTCATTGCTATCAGTAAACATTACATACCCCTGAATTGCAGATTTATTTATCTTTTTACTTGAAAGATACTGCCAGTGCACTGTCAATCAACAGAGACTGCTTTGTTGACTTTTGTTAAGATAATTCTTGATGAATACAAGTTGTTACGGAAAACTTTTAACAATAGTAAAACTATATCAAAACATCTGTTTAAGAAAACTCATGCAGGATAATCCAAGTCATATTTATCCAGTCGTATGCTCAGTACAATCCTTTCCATGAGGAACTGACCTGAAAGTTTAATTTTCCTATGCTCTCTTCAAAGCCAGACTCCATTGACAAAAACAGTAATTTTAGCTTGCTGAACACAGGAGCTGCTGGTTTACCACTGGCTCAATCTGTAATGTGTTTGAATTATTGTGTGACTTTGGGGAATCTGAACTAACCCTTTAAAACACGAAAGTCCCACAATATCATTGTGCCTTATTGTTGGTACTAATGGTCTAATGGTTAACCAAAGAAGACTGTCCATATTTTTATAACTTAACAAGTGAAACTAAACCCACTAAAGTTGGTGTTTCTCTCTCTGACATCTTAAATAGAGCCCAGTGGGATTTGTCACTTATGTCTTGTGTGTGTGTGTGTGTGTGTGTGTGTGTGTGTGTGTGTGTAGGCAGTGGACAGCAGTCTGTAACTGGAGTGGAGAACGCAGATGATGCCAACAGTTATTGGCAGATTCGTGGGAAGCCTAACCGTCCGTGTCAGCGCGGGGCAGCTATCAAGTGTGGTCAGGCCATCCGCATCACACACATGAAGACCGGTCGAAACCTCCACACACACCACTTCAGCTCACCCCTGTCTAATAACCAGGTCAGACAGCAGTACTCACACTTATGTTGAAGATATGTTTTTGATACAACAGTGGGCTCTATGGGACAGGGGAAGATAATGCAGGCTTTAGAGATACACACAGTATTTGTTAGGATATATTCATTGTTGGTGTGGGTTTGTTATCTTTGGCCTGCAGGAGGTTAGCGCCTTTGGAGAGAATGGCGAGGGTGACGACCTGGACGTTTGGACGGTGCAGTGTGACGGTGTTCACTGGGAGCGCGACGAGGCAGTGCGCTTCAAACACGTGGGCACCGATGTCTTCCTGAGCGTGACAGGCGAGCAGTATGGCCATCCCATCCGCGGCCAGCGGGAGGTGCACGGCATGAGCACTCCAAACCAGCACAACTGGTGGCGCTCCATGGAGGGCGTGTTCCTTCAGCCCAGCCAGATGCCGCTGCGCCACGATGAGCTCTGACATCATCACTAGGAGACATGTGGATTCAATTTGAGGGTTCCATAGCTCTCCTGGACCAAATGACGTCATGTGTGAAGGATGAAGAATACTTGACTGATGACTCATCTCAGTACATGTGAAGCACTCAGGGTGGTCTGAGACAAGGAGGATAATATTTTTCCCTAAAAGTTTGAATAAGAGCAATGATACTGTATGTAGTGTAGGCATATGGTCTATAGACCAGTTTCCTCCTTAGAGAATTTCGAAGTGAAGGAAATATTTTTTGTAAAAACCAAGGCTAGGTTACCAACTAGGCAAAGCAACTACCGCTGGGCCCACAAAAGCCCTTAAAGACACATGTTCACTGTTGTAATCTGAATAATTTTGTAAATATGCACATCTAAAGAACAATATCAGTTGAAATGTTGATGGGCCTTGTGTCAAATAAAACCTTTGTTTTAGTTCAAGTTTTTGTTTGTGATGTACCACACACACAGACACACATACATATGTATGTACAAACATACATATATAATTATACACCGATCAGCCACAACATTAAACCACTGACAGGTGAAGTAAATAACATTGATCATCTCATTACAATGCACTGTTCTGCTGGGAAACCCTGGGTCCTGGCATTCCTGTGGATGCCACTTGACACGTACCACCCACCCAAACACCATTACAGACCAGGTACCCCCCTCCATGGTAACATCACTCCCAGATCCAGCACAGGGCAGCACGATCTCCTCCCCCAGCCCCCCCAGTTCGTTTTATATGTCCCTGAAAGTCATCTGAACTCTATGTACTGTCATATTCTAAAGGCTAATGAGTCAAAGTTGAACTAAGTGGCCCTCTCGCAGATCCTGGCCCTATTACCACCACTGGCAACAGCAGAACTTAAAGCAACTTAGAATGTACCTCCTACTCAACCCCTCCTCAGTCACCAGAATAAATGTTGGCATTGTACATTTCTGCAAAACCACGGATACACTACATTTGTATTTTATTATATAGCAGGTACGTTGAAACTTCACATTACACTGCTGTGGTTAACATGGTTAGGTTCAGGCACAAAAAGGTTATGGTTAGAAAATGACCAGGTTTTGACTTAAAATACCATGTTTTGCGGGTACAATTATTGCTGACAAACCAGGGATCGGTTGCTCCAAAACACCCACATTTGGTGCCTAAAAAGCTGCTGGAAACACGATGATGACTGGCCAAGCCACAACCAGTTTTATTGTTTGTTGGTGTTCAACAGTGGTCAGCAGCTTGGCAGGCATCTACTCTAGGTGTCATACTAGCCTCTAGAACCCCAGATGATGAAGTCATCTCATACAGTACATACCTTCTTTGTGGTTTGCAGAAACGTACAATGCCAACATTTTCCTCCAGTGACCAGACTGTCTTCATCTGTGAAGATGGCCGGAGCTTTACTAAAGGCATCTACACAAAATGGCTAACCAGTTCTAAATCTGCTCTGAATTTTCTCTTAAAGGTCCAGTTTGTAGGATTTAGGGGGATATATTTGCAGAATATAATATAATCAATATGTTTTCTTTAGTGTATAATCACCTGAAAATAAGAATTGCTGTGTTTTTCTTACCTTGAATGAGCTGTGTATATCTACGTGGGGAGCAGGTCCTCATCTATGGAGATCTCCATGTTGCATTGCCATGTTTCTGCAGAAGCCCAGAGAGTCTTTTAGTCAGAGCACAAAATGTCAGCTGAACATGCAAACACAGGATTTTTTTTTTTTTTAAATCAGTTCACTAAGGTAGATATTCAATTTACTGGGTGAAAGATAAATTTATCAGCAACTATTTTCATGACTGAGTAATCATTTTACCCACTTTTTGAGCAAAAATGTCAAATATCTTAGGGTGTAGAGAAACCTGACAACAGGAACAGATTTGATTTGGCCAACAGCTGCATCACAAGTATTTAAACTGAAATGGTGAACCAGATTTAAACCATATTTAATTTTAAGTAGCCTAGTACCCAGGGGTCTCATCTATAAAACAGTGCATAGGATCCATAATAATGTACACACAGACAAAAGCCAAAAATGGGACAGTTCAGAAACAAATTTTAAAAAGGGCTTAGTTTTTTAGATACCCCTAAAACAAAACACCACCATGTTTTTCGTACTTTGAGATGTCCCCTTCGTTAAATAGATGGTGGTAACAAAAATAATTTATACAGCGAAATACAGGTAAAAGTAATGAACCTGATTAATATATTGACTTACCCAATAGGTGACAAAGTGCATAACAAGCATGAAGAAAGAAGAAGAAAGAGGGACGTCGGTGCCTTAGTGGTAGAGCAGGTGCCCCATGTACAAGGCTGTTGCCGCAGCGGCCCGGGCTTGAATCCAGCCTGTGGCCCTTTGCTGCATGTCACTCCCTCTCTCTCCCCCCCTTTCACACTTGTCTGTCCTATCAATTAAATGCTTAAAAATGCCCAAAAAAATATCTTAAAAAAAAAAAAGAAAGAAGAAATCTAAACTTACCAGAGTCAGTTGAGAGCACACAACCAACTGCCTTCTTCTCTCAGCTACTCGCTGATGTTTTCGGCGATCAAGTACTTCCGATATTTGTACCATATCGATGGATAAATACCCCGTTAATTTCCCCTGTCCTTTTTAATGCCTTTGTCACTTCAGCTGGCTGTGCTTTCTGATGTGTCTTCTCCTCCCATTTTTTAATTATTTTTCATTTGCAAAGTATACAGTATAGTACAGCTGGCAAACTCGCCTTATTTAATGTTTCACTCTCTGTTTATTTTATACTTATTTTCTGTGTGAGCAGACTTGAGATTAAACAAGTTAAAGGCGCAGTATTGTTGGGGAGAATTTAAGTTAACCTTTTTTTTTGACACTGCTCATGATTGTTCACTGGGTGCACTTAGTTCTAAATATGTCATCCTACGTTTATAGGGTGAACTGTTAACCTAAGTTGGAGTTAGTGTTGATAGGAAGTTATGTTGGTTAAGAGATCAGAGGGGGACTCTGGGTTTGGGGACAGCTGACAAAAGTGTGTGTGTGTGTTTTGTTTTATTTTTGTCAGTTTTTTCTTGTTTGTTTGTTTGTTTGTTTGTTTGTTTGTTTTTTCAACCCACCAGAGCAACTCATCTCACTCAAATTCTGAAATAGTTCAAACATGAAGGAGAAAATCATTTTTATTAGTGGGAATGTGAAGGGGCAAAATCATCAAGTGGAAAGGAGCAAGGTCTTCTCACACTTAAAGCAGCTCAAGCCTGGGGTAGTTTTCCTGCAAGAAACTCGCCTACATGACTCTGACCAATGGCGATTAGGTAAATGCTGGGCTGGACAATTTTTTCATTTCCAATTTTAAAGGGAATGCTAGGGGCACAGCTATCCTTATCGATAGAAATATTACTTTTGAGCCTTCTGATGTTATATCAGATATAAATGGGCGCTTTATTATCATTTCAGGCAAACTTTACAATAAGTCTGTGACACTGGCCAATTTTTCCCAACTCCCAAATCTCAACTCTCATTCTCTTATTCTCGGAGGGGATTTTGATAGCTATTTAGATGCTGTGTTTGACCACTCCTCCCCCAAGCCTAGCATGCTTAGCAAATCCGCTGGATCATTTCTTGACAACTTTAGCCTCTCTGATCCATGGCAGTTCTTATACCCCACAGGTGGAGAATTTTTTTTTCTCACATTCACCACACCTGTACTTGAATAGATTATCTTTTTATAGATCATTCATTAATTCCAAATCTTAAATCCCGTAGTTATGAGAGAAATATTATTTCTGATCACGCGCCCGTAGTTCTACAATTGGCTTTTCCAGAGGCTGAATATGCAAGAAAACATTGGAGACTTTATCCTTTGCTGCTCACAGATGAAAGTTTTCTTACACACATCTCAACACACATTAAAATATCTTTTTAGCACTAATAAAATACCAGATGTGTCTGATAAAACAATTTGGGAGGCCATGAAAGCATATTTAAGAGGTAAAATTATATCATTTGCAGCATACAAAAATGTGTGCTCTAAGGAGAGACAAAGATAAATTGCCAATCAGATATTAGACATAGATAGACAATATGCAAATTCACCCTCCTCTGAACAACATAAAGAAAGTTTGAGACTCCAGTCAGAATTTAATCTTCTCTCCTCTCACCAAGTTGAAAGTCAGCTACTCCAGAGTAGGAATGAGTTCTGCGAGCATGGTGAGAAGGCAGGCAAACTCCTGGCCAATCAACTTTATGGGTTGAGAGCAAAGCAACTTATTGCTGGTATATGGTGTATCAGATCAGAAAATGATCAATGAGAAGTTCAGAGCCTTTTACTCAACTTTATATACTTCAGATTGTACAGAAGATGTAAGTGTCATGGATAATTTCTTCAGCAACCATGACATACCGTCCCTTCCCCAAGACCTGAGAAACAAGGCAAAAAAAGGAGGTGACCAAGGCATTCTTGAGATTAAAAAGCCTTTATTTGAAGTGGCTAATACATTGTAAAAGATAAAATGCACCTACGCGTTGCGGCACACAGCCTTCATCAGGGTGACAAGAAACAAGCTTGATGCTCCCATAACCCAGGAGGAAATTATTACAGTAATATCATCTATGCAGTTGGGTAAATCACCTGACCCAGATGGGCTCCCGTCAGGTTTCTTTTTTTAAGAAATTCTCAGCCAAACTGGCTCCCTTTTTATGTTCAGTGTTCACTGACTCCTTTGACTCTGGTGGACTCCCTCCTTCATTCAATCAAGCCTGTATCTCCTTGCCACTGAAAAAGGATAAGGACCCATTAGACTGTGCTTCCTACAGACCAATATCACTACTAAATACAGATGTTAAGATCCTTGCCAAAGTCCTGACCCGAAGATTGGAACTTGTTCTCCCCTCTGTTATATCCCCTGATCAAACAAGATTTATAAAAGGACGCCATTAATTTTATAATATTCGGCGGTTGCTCAACATCCTGTACTCCCCCAAAGATACTGAGTCAGTATGCCTTATCTCTGTGGATGCTGAAAAAGTGTTTAACAGAGTAGAATGGATTTATCTTTTTATGACACTTTGAAAATGTGGTTTTGGCCTCTGTTAGAATGACCATAGCGGCTGGCTATTGCAGTAAAAGAGCAGTCAAAAGGCGATGGTACAGTGCACCAAATCATGGGTGTTTATTCACCAAACCAGAAAAAAAACCCACATAAAGCGGTACAGGCATGGCAGCATTAACAGATGGGAGACCTGACCAGCACCAAGGCGCCTTTTATACCCTATCACTGGTCTACTTGATTGGCTGCTTCCATTAACAGGTTTTTTAACAAAATATATTATCTCATGGCTAATCACCACCAACAATATAACCAGCCTACAATTAACATATTATTTACTATTACTGCTACTGCTATTTACCCCCCCAGAATAAACACAAACCCACTACAATAAATATACATATATACACCA